CTTCTCTTGACTCCTGCCTCCCCATAATTTCCCATAACTGGCCTGCTACCTCAACTTTTATACTCCTTCTTACCCTCACCTGAGCTTTCTTACCCCTCCCTTTTCCTCACTTTCCACATCACGCTAAATTCTGAACTGGCCTTCCTTCTCACATCCCACACCTGAGCTGCTTCCTAACCCTCCCATCTCCTTACTAACCACATCTGGCCTTCTACTGATCCCTCCTACAACCTCACTGCCTATACCTATGCCTTCTACCAACCTACTTCCACTTACCTCCTCCCTACTCCTGACACCTTGGTGGCTTCCTGGCAATCCCCACCTTCATTGCTTACAAGGATTCTCTCACTGCACCCTTCCTCCCAAACCTGTGTCTTCTTGGGAGCCACGGCTCCTCCTCACTCCTCCACCCTCCTCCCTTGCCATTACTGGACTACCTCCTCACCCCTCCAATATTCTCATTCACACACCTGGTGGTGGTAACCTGGCCCCTTCCATCTTCTCACTTCCCATAGTAAGTCTGACCCCTTCCACCACCACTCACCACACCTGTTATGCTTTAGGACCCCTCCTAACTCCTTGTTACCAACATCTGGTAGTTCTCCAGGCCTCTCCCACCTCCTCAATTCCCATAAATTGTCTGTCCCTTTCTCTCTCCAAACTCTCACTCTGCACACCTGGATGGCATCCTCACCCTACCCCACCTCCACTTTGCTCTCCCCTGTCATTTATCCTATACACAGTCATTCATGCAAATACCTGTCCATGAATGTTCATATCAACACTTGTCACATCAGTCTAAAGGGAGGCACAACTCAAATGTCCATCAGCTGATGAATGGGTAAACAAAGTGTGGTCCATCCATGTGATGGGGTACCATTAAACCTTAAAAGGAATTACATACGGATGCCAGCTACAGCATGGATGAACCTTGAAGACACTAAGCTAAGTGAAATAAGCAAGGAACAAAAGACCAGGTATTTGTATTTAGATAAGAAGAGTAGAGTAGATACCTCCATAGACACAGAGAGCTGATCACTAATTGCCATAGACTACAGAGAGGGGGACGTGGGAGAGACTGCTTCATGGGTACAGGCTTTCTGTTGTGGTGGTGAAATATTTGTGCAAGTAGAGACTGGTAATGGTTGAAAAAGATTGTGAAAGTACACAAAGTCACTATCTTGTACACTTTAAAACTACTAAGTCCAAACTTTATTTAATTAGTTATCTACCAGTTATAATAGGATAAACTATAAAGGACAAAGTGATCTGGGAGAATACTAAAGAAAAACCAAAAAAACACCCACTTGGGTGAGGGTAGAACAAGATCTGCTTCTGGAGCCGATACTCCCTCGCTGTGGAGGATTATGGACTGTGGAGAAGGAGCAGCACAGGGCTCGCCCTCTTGGGCCTGGGCCATATCTGGAGATGAAGTATCTAGGGCTTCATGAAGCCCAGTGCTAATAGAGGAGCAGGATCAAGATCAGAACGTGGTCCTCGATTTTCTTTTGGTATTGTGACAGGCATAGTCTCCAGGCCTCCAGCTGATTTTCCAACAGTTCGTTCCCAGTGATGGAGCTGGTAATGGCTGATCTGATGCTCTATGGAGCCCCGATGCTTTCTGAGGATCAGGACCCACATAAGCATGTAGTTCTCTATTTGGTTCAGGTAGTGGACCTGGAAGAATATACAGCTCTCCAACTGGCTCTGCATCAGCTGCCTGGGATGGAACTGGTATTGGTGAATCTGGTGCTCTATGGACCTTTGAGGTTGCTTTAGGACCAGGATCCACATCGCCAACAGGTTCTTGATCCACTCTTGTGGTGGACCAGGAAGAATATCCATCTGTTCACCTGGCTCTCCATCAGTGACTAGTGATGGAGCTGGTAATGGTGGATCTGGTGCTCCATGGAGCTCCAATGTTGTTTTAGGATCCAATTCCACATCACCACAGTGTTCTAGATTAGCTTTGTGTGGTGGACCAGGAAGGCTATCCATCTGTCCAGCTGGATCTCCATCAGTGGCCAATAATTGAGCTAATGAAGGTGTATCTGATTCTCTCTGGAGTACCGCTGTTTCAGGATCAGGATCTATATCACCAAGTAGCTCTCGATTTGCTTCTGGTGGTGGATGAAGGAGAGTAGCCAGATCTCCAGCTGGCTCTCCATCAGTTCCCAGTAATGGAACTAGGAAATCTGATGTTGTTTCATCATCAGGATGCACACCACCATGGAGATCTCGATTTACTTCTGCAAGTGTGCCAGGAAGAATATGGAGCTCTTCAACTGGCTCTCCATCATGTGCCAGTGATGGAGTTTTGTGTTGGTGGATCTCATACTTTAAGGATCTCTGATGTTGTTTCAGGACCAGGATCCACATCACCAGGTAGTTCTTGATTTGCCTCTTGTGGTGGACCAGGAAGAACTTCCAGCCCTCCAGATGATTCTCCACCAGTTTCCAATGATGGCACTAGCAATCGTGGGTCTGGTGCTCTCAAGAGCTCTGCTATTGCTTCATTATCAGGATCCACATCACCATGTGGATTGCAATTTGCTTCTGGAGCTTGGCCAGGAAGAATATCCAGCTCTCAAGCTGATTCTCCATCAGTTCCCACTCATGGAGCTAGTGATGGTGGATCTGGTGCTCTAGGGAGCACTGATATTTTTTCAGGATGAAGAGCCACATCAGCAAGGTGTTCTTGATTTGCTCCTGGTGGCAGGCCAGGATGAGTATCCAGCTCTATAGCTGATTCTCCATCAGTTCCCTGTGATGCAGCTGGTAATGGTGAATCTGGTGTTCCAAGGAACTCTGATGTTTCAGAAGCAGGATCCACATCACCAGGGGGTTCTTGATTCACTTCTAGTGACAGACCAAGAATACTTTCCAGCTCTGCAGCAGATTCTCCACCAGTTCCCAGTGATGGAGCTGGTGATAGTGTATCTAGTACTCTATGGAGCTCTGATATTGTTTCAGGATCAGGATCCACATCACCAGGTTGTCCTTGATTTACATCTGGTGATGAGCCAGGAAGAATATGCAGCTCTTCAGCTGACTGTCCACTAGGAGTCAGTGACTGAACTGGTGTTGGTGGACCTGATGCTCTATGGAGGTCCTGAGTTGGTGCACTGGCAGATTCACCATCACCAGGTGATCCAGAAGCTGGTTCTGGAGGTGCTGCTGGATCTTGGGCTACTCTTATAAGTGGAATCTGTCTTGGTTTTGGAGCTGCAAGAAAAGAAGTGTTCAACAACATTACTGCCTTTCCAATGACAGACAACATTCAACTGCAGTGGAAAGAAACCAATGGCCTGGATTTCCACCCCAAGACACCTTCCAGGTAGTGGTCCACCAATGGAGTGTTGCACTGCCCTATGGATCTTTACAACTCACCTGCAATCATGCTTAGTCCTCCTCACCTGCTGGCTCTGCTGTAGCAGGCTCCAGGTGAAGGAACTGGACAAGGAGATGGTAGGCACGGCACTCCAAGTCCGAGCCAGGCATATTCATCTGCAGAAATTCCACTACAGCCTTGAGGCAGGGGAAGTCTGGGGACTGATGGAAATCCCCCAAATATTCAGCCAGCCAGGTGAACAAAATAAAGGAGATGGCTCTGGGGATGGGGATGGAAGAACATGGTCAGAGATCTGTCCTTTCCCACCACACTGCTCCCCCAGGGCATCCCTGCAAGGGGCCGAGTCCCTCTGTGTGGCCAGCACTGCTGGAGGCCATTCCCAGGCCCACCCACTCTGGCTGTCACGACTAAAGCAGGCCTGCTCACTGCTATACAAACTCCCCTGGAACCTTCCACGAGCCCTGGTCTCAGGGATCTCTCCATCAATGATTTGACCAATTGTTCCTTCCTCAGGAAGCCTGACTTAAGTCCCTGTCTGTCCCCTGGCACCTCCCCACAGGAGAGTAAATACTGGAGGCAGGAAGAATGTTTTTTCTTGTTCACCTCACAGCCTGGCACACATGAGGATCCATGAATACCTGACACTGAGGGACACAGGGTGTCCGCCCCCCATCCCAGCTTGCCCAGGCCTTCAGCTTGTGTGCAAGAGTTGAGCCTGGTTTTCTAAACACATGAGGGTCTGTTCTTCCACAGACATAATTCCCCAAAGGGTCGTGGCCCCACATGCAGCTGATCCTCCAGCCCTGGGGATTAAGATCTTGGAGGAGACTTCTCCCTACAATTTCTGTTTGGATCCTGAATAAGGGAGAGGGCAAGCAGAGCTGGGAGGGCACTGTCGGTGCACAGTTTCTCTCAGAGACCTCTCTGGGCCACGATGCTTCCCTCTGCTCCCCAGGATACAAGGCCACCACCTGCATACCTCTGTGAATGCTCTTCTCCTTCAGGGGGCACCCCTCAACTCATTCTTCCAGGGAATCCAGATGGGCAGCAGCCAGGGTCTCCCAGCACCAGTTCAGAGGCCTCCACAGCCTCCATGCTTCTGTTGGGACAAGAGCCCCTCCTTCTCCACCCAAAGTCCACTCACTCTTTCAGCTGCTTCTGGAGTGCGCCATCCCTGGAAGAACGAGGGCAATTGTGTTCATACCTGGAGAGGTGTGAGGGTATCACATGTAAAGCACTGTGGACACTGCCTGCTTATGTTGGCTGCTGTTCCTGTCTGATTCTCTGGCTACACAGGAGGCCCTGGAGGCCAGGGCTGCCTGTCTGCTTAGTTCACTGAATGAAGCAAAGTGCCTAGAACAGTGTCTGCAACAGTAGAGACTTCAGAGATAACTGCTATACAAACTCCCCTGGAACCTTCCACGATATCTAAGTGACCAGAGGACTCTCTGCCAACCCGGGATCCCTTTCTGGCAACACCAAGGACAGGGAACCGCTAGATGCAATCACAGCCCCCTTTACAAATGGAAAATGGATTTGCTTAAGGGCACATGTCAGTGAGGGCTGAGGCTTATAGCTTTTTCAAGTGGGAGGGGAAAAGAAACAATGTACATATCCCGGCCTCTCAAGCAGCCTTTTCTGCAGAGTGGGGCTCTGGCTACACACTTCCCATGACACGTCCCATGTGGTCCTGACAATCATGCTAGCAAGTTGGTGCATCTCTCAGCAAATTGAGGTTCAGAGAGTGAAGTGACATTCCTAAGACTCACATCCAGTAGGTTGGTAGGTGGTAGAGCGTCATATGGAGTGGAGGTTGGGACACTCACCATTGGAACAGCAGGTTCAGGACCTGCTGGGTCATGGTGAAAGTTCTATACATTCCCAGAAAGGCCTAGATGTGGGCCACGTAACCCTCCAGGAATGCAGGCACCAGGCACTCCACCAGCTTCTTCACCCTGTCTTCCTTGTCGGTCCACACCACACAGGTCTCATCCAGATCCTGCTCTGACCCACAGGCATACTGCAGTGGAACAGAGGAAGGACATACTGTCAGAGACAGCACCATGAAACACCAGGAGGATTGAGAGCCAAAGCTCAGACCCGGGAACTCCCCACCCTCAGTGACTTGTGGCAGGAGCTGGGACACGAGTGCCTAGAGCAGAAAATGGGGCTCCACTTCCCAAGTACAATTGAAGGTGAGGAAGATTGAAAATATGAAGAACCAGAAGTTATTCTGTTAACCCGGTAATCATGATATCTCTCTGTAATGAAAGCAGTGTCCAGTGAGTCCTCATCAATCACCCTATTCCAGAGATGAGATCCTAGAGGGTGAGCGATGTCCAGTGTCTGCTCAAAGTCACACAGTCACAGCACAGAACCACGTGACCCCTAGCTCCATCAAGTTCCCTAGGTGCTGGCTGAGGCCTGGTTGGTTCCTGACCTGGGTTGGGGAGGGTGTGGTGGAGGGGCTGTCAGGCAGTCTTGTGCAGGTACACTGGTTCCCTAGCTGGAGACAAAGCACAGAGTGGACAGACCCCACCAGAACCCCTTGGATGGCAAAGCAAGACACAGATTTTTCTCCCTCAATCTTTAAAGGGGTTTGGTGAATTATGATGGTCCCAGATCCAGCCAAAGTTGAGAAACTGGAGATCCCATGCTGGGAGACAAAACTCCACAGGACCAAAGACCTGACAGTAGACATGGGGAGAGAGAATCCAAAGGGCTGGTAAACGACTGAGAAGTGACTCAACTTCTCAAGGCCAACAGAACCTCAAAGCCACCCTATAGGTCCATTGGCCACCCTGACGCAGATTGGCAGCAATGAAAAAGAGCCATAGCACTCAGGACAGGGTCTATTCAAGGACCCAGACACCTTCACCAACTGCTGGCACCACATGACTGCCGCAGCTGTTTTGGGAAGGAGTGTGGCTCCAGGAATCCTAACTTTAAATGTGCACATCCCTTGCCCCAGCACCCCACTCATGAGGGTCTGTCCTGGGGAGGGGAGGGTCAGTGTATGAGGACACATGTCAGGGTTCCTGCAGCCCTGCTGGAAGGACAGCAGAAAG